TAGTGGTGTTACAAAAGAGTAACAAACATTAAAAAAAGAAGAAGGGGAGAAATGGACAATAGATGTTTGATAGGAAAGAAGAAGGAAACCACACCAGAGCACCCGCCAACCACCCACTCCAAAAATTTTGAAAATGTTACTGCTGATTCTAAATCTGTGGCATCGGTTGCAAGTGCTCGAGAACTATTGTATCGAAATTAAAATTCTAATTCTAAATGTTTTTAAAAAAGCAAGAAAAGATATACATGTATGGCGGTACAATTTGTAAAAGAAAGAAACAATTTTAATTTTTTGCCCTGATTTCTTTTTTACAGTAACAGTAACAGCTTGACGACAACCCACGTTCGCATTCTCCAAAGTGATTCCGATCTTTCAAACGTGTTTGATTTCAGTTTCAGGCCATCGAGTCGGGCGATCGGCCCGATCCAGCCGTAGTGGGCACCCCGTTTAACAGTACAAAGTCTGTATAACCTGGAAATAATATATAAAATGTACAAGGACTGTTCTAATTCAACAGAATTATTTCACAAGGTCAACTACCTCCAATTCTAACTGTGCCTCCTGTGTATCATGGGGCTGCAGAGAATTCCAGTGTTACCAAGAACTCGAGTTTTCACGAATCAAATGCTTTCATATTGCATGGGTGGGGTGTTAGTTTTAGAAGAGGTTTTACGACGCTCGCAACAGCAGGTCATATGAGCGCCAGAAGATTAGAGTAGAGGTGTTACAAGAGAGCAACAAACATAAAAAAGAAGAAGGGGAGATAAGGACGATAGATGTTAGATAGGAAAGAAGAAGCAGCAGCAAACCACACCAGAGCACCCGCCAACCACCCACAGGAGAGGGATGGGGGCGAGGCACAAGCTCAAGAAATACAACAGGCAGTCCGACAAAGAGATAAGACTGAGGGGGCTTATGAAAATGTAGAATCACACAAACTAAACTACATTTTAATGTAAATACACAATATGGGACTGTTTTCTTTTTTCTAATGTATGTGTTTTTACAACGTTTCGGCACAATTTAGATTATCAATCATTATCAAGGGGGCGGGCTTCTTACTCAGCCTATTAGGGCGAACCTGGGCCGATGGGGATACAAAATCACCTTAGAAAGAACAAGATACACACACATTCAATTTTTTTAAAATTCTCCCTACTCGGGAATCGAACTCCAGTCTCCTGGGACAACGAAGTGCCTAAAAGCTGCACCACAGATGCCAAGTGGGCTGTTTTCAGAGATCACAGACACAGGTAAAAAAAACGCACGTTGGAGAAAACAGCATGCCACACACGGATACATGTACCTTTCTTTAGCTCTCATCCCATTAGCCACACGAAAGACAACACACATGGATGGGTGGAGACAGAAATGGTTAATGAGAAAGACAGACAGACACAGATACAGGATCGACGTAAACCGAGACGAGGAACACACTGTGGAACACGAAATACACAAGGAGGGCTAAAACTGAGAGGAAAAAAAGAAACAAGAGAAAGTGTTCACAAAGTAGCATTCTTTATTCCAATCATAATTCTTTTTAAAAAAAAGAATACAAAATAAAAATTCTACCCACGCGTATCAATATTGGTGACCATAGCGTCAGAAATAGTATCATATGTCATCAACCAAAACAATTATTGTACACAAAGCACAACAAAACAACCTAAATTTGCATCATCATTCCCTCTTACCCCCCCCCCCCCCCCCCACTCCCTCCCCCGGAAAAAGCAAACAAAACCCCACGAATTAAAATAATGGAGATCGAATTAGATCAACATGCAATTATTTCAGGTTCAGGCAAATAAAAATAACATTTTCATTAGACACTGACCAAACAAAAAATAATTTTTTAAAAACACTTGCTATGCTCGCTCTTTGAACTTCTTAGAGACACCACTGACAGACAGGAGAGATAAAATACATCTAGTAAACTTCAAATTTTTAATGCATGACGATACGGTCTAGGTAACAATGACAAAGAGAAATTGACCCAACTGCCATTGTATTAATATCTTACACCAATGTAAAAAGATCAGAGGGAGAAAACTGAAGGGGTGATCGTTGCCTTAACATTTATCTTAGAATTGATTTTTTTTTTTTACCCAAAAAATCAACCCCGGGGATGCATACAAAGTGTTTATAATGTGGAAAGCTGGTTGATCAAGTAGATGTTTTATGGCACCGTCGTCACAGTTTGGGATAATTCCATGCGTTGCAAGCGCTTGCATAGAAGGCAGCAATAACCCCCCCCCCCCCCCCCCAAAGAAACAAATTGAATTGCCGTGAGAAATGCATTTTTTTTTTTAAGTACGGCAAACACAGGTAGATTATTTGCCTCTAGATCTAGTGATCTTTTTTATCCTCGACACTACCAAAACGACTTCTTAGACAAACACTTCCTGATCCCTCCACCCTGCTAGCCTACCCGTATGTGTGCTCCAAGCTTTGGTACACAACCTTTTGTCAACACTATCACCACAACAAATGACCGTACACTTAGGGCAGACATTGAACAAATAGCTCGCATGGAGGATTCTAGCCTGCATGGTAACATTAACCAAACAAGAAGCTGTTTAAGGTTTCTGAACAGCTCTTTGAACTACAGATTATCACGACATGCCCACAAATGGCTCGTTTCTCCAACCCCGGAGATGATTAAAATAACTTAAAATACCGTTTAAAAAACATCCCAAGAAAAGCGGTAAAGGCCATTTTAATTTCACGATCATTGTTTACAATTTGCCATGGCACGAACTGTTGCACTTTTTCTAGAAAAATACCCCCCCCCCCAAAAAAAAAAAAATTATAATAAACAATTTTTAAAAATACACCATGCTCACCGAAACTAGTGACCGTCAAAAGTACAACTTCTAACGCTGTTTACACTGAACCCCCCCCCCCCCCCCCCCCCCAAAAAAAAAGGACAGAGCGAGAGGTCATTTTAAAAAGTCAACTCCTCTACTTCCGTTACTTTTACAGGAATTCAAAACTTGGTACCGGTACGATACTGTTCACGCACTGCAAACGTACGCACGCAGTCATGTGAAGAAGCAAACTGTCACAACCACAAGACAAGATTTTTCAATTGTCTTAAATACATGCACAGCACTGGCCAGACAAGGCAAAGACACCATTCTTTACTTAAACGATCAACCCTGTAGCCAACAAGTCTGCTTGTGCTCATTTAAACGCAGGAAAGACCTAAAGCTCTGGCCACAGTTCTTGCAGACGATAGTGTCACCGATACGATGAACGTTTCGCATGTGCACGCGCAGATTGTACCTCCGGCCGAACGTCTTCCCACACTCTGGGCACGCCACCACCAGTCCGCCCCGGCAGTGATGCGCGTGCTTGAGCAGCCTGTCCCGACTAGGGAAGTCTTTGCCGCAATGCAGGCACACCTGTCGCTGCTCGCTGTTGGACGGAGGAGTTGTGGTTGTGGACGGGGGTAGGAAACCCAACGGGACCACTGAGGTGGGCTGAAACACGAGGTTCTGGCCCACATTAGCCAGTCCCGGCATCCCACTGCCTCTTACGGCCGCTTGCTGCTCCAGCCAAGTCCCTGGGGAGAGCATGGGGGCGTTAGCTAGTACTGTCTATCAACACAGAAGCTGCACCAAACGGGGAGTTCCTTGGCGTTGAGGAGGAACAAGAGCTATCAGAGTGTCAATTCGCATCATGCGCAAAAAGAAAGATCACTAACAGGCGTGGCTGGGCCAAAATCAGATAGTTCACAATGTTCCCTGCCCTTTGCGCGACACAACGACTACATTTTGTACCCAGCTATTCCGATCAAACAAGGTTTAGCACCCCTCAGGGTTTAATGGGAATCGCCCGAGAGCACCAATAATGCAAACAAGTTGAAATTCAGAGCAAAGAGAGCTGCTTCTTCACACAGTGAAGAGAGAAAAACATTTGATGACCTCCATCTCGTTTTAAAAAGTGTACTCTGTTGTAGTTTCTAAGTTAATGAACTTAACCACAACGGGTCATGGCAATAGGTAAGAGAGACGTAAAGGAAGGTAGTTTTGTTAATCTTCTGTATCGACATCAGTGTTTTGACGTTCAAGACAGGGAGAATCACATAATCTCAGACATGGTAAGACAACAAAGACAAAGCTTGATAAAAAATTGAAATGAAAACTTTGAAAATAAGCATGGCTTTGCAAAGTTATCATTCAAAGACCCACACTCTCCACAGAAGACATTGTGTTGGAGCTGGAAGACAGACAAAAGAAAGTCTTCTAGAGCGGGGATTATGATAAAACGCAAACAAGACCTGTTATGATCCAACTGTGTTTTGATTTTAAAGTGGGAGGGGGGATCCATCTGTGAGCTATCCAATGTTAGTACCGGCACAATGCATTACATGACGGCTCAGCTTTAGGTAAGACCGAAAGCTTGCTCCGCATACTTTGCAGACTGGAGGGTCCCCCCAGTTGTGCTTGTTCCGCATATGAACACGCAGGTTATCTTTCCTACGAAAGGGTTGCTGGCACGCGGGACACTGAAGCTTCCAATTTCTGAAGCAGTTTATGCTGTGAGCAATGACTTCTGACATCGAATTGCACACCAAGCCACAGTGAGAGCAGCTCCGTCGACTCTCAGGAGCAATGGGTCCGTGGGAGGATTCTGATGCTCCAGGTGTGCAGGAAGAATCGAAAAAACCTGACGGAACAGTTGCTCCCTGAAACCTGTGGACGACCCCTGGGGATTTAATGGGAATCGCCTGAGTTACTTGCTAGTCATTGGCATCCTCTTGATATAAGAGATATAAAAGTGTTTTGCACGTCACCTTCTGACATATCACTGCTGTATATGTACTGGGCTCACGACAGAAACATTTTCCAACGTTACCGGTACTAACAGCCGTCAAAGTCAACACCCCTGCTACAAAGTTTGCAAAATGCATGTATCAAAGACAATGTGCTGGCACCGATTACTACAGATATTAAAAAACCCTGCCACCCGATCATTCCTTCACCCATGAACGTACATTATTTTTTTTATTTCTTTGAACATCGACCTAAAGGGAAGGAATTTGCCATGGACAAATGACAAACCAGAAAAAACCCACCTCATGCCACATATTTGATCAGGTGTCGAAGACCAACAATTTCTGCCTAAAAAGCACACCGGTACAGCTTTCAGAAGACAGCTCTTGTGTTTAATATGAAACATGAAGCAGTCTTGCTTTACTAACAAGTGGGAAAGGAACAAAAAATCTGACTCTGTAGACCATTCATCTTTTCATGTCGTACTTCTGACCAAAGCATCGGCACCCTAACCTTAAAAGGAACACAGCAATGAGATTCCATGGGGAGAAAAATAAAGCTATAAAAAAACCAATCACTCGAACTAGCTGTATACATGTATCTTCGGAAGCATAGTACTAATAAAACAGTACCTCCAAGCCAAAAAGGATCAGAGCACCAAAAAAAACCCCAAAAAAACAAGTCTGCATTACATCACAAAGCTTTTTGTTTCTTACCTAAAATAGGTTAGAGAATACGCTTTTTTAAAACCTTTTTAAAAAGTAAGCAGCAACGCACCAAAAGTTTCAGCAGAAAAAGATAAATCAACACAAAAACATAACATATAAAAAAATACCACTCTAAATCTGAACACAAAATGACATAATGCGTCAAACTTAAACGGCAAACCAGCATTATTTTTCTTTAACCTCACTTCTTCTCAAGCAGGATTTAGGAATGATACATATATCTTATGCAATAATTTACATGAAATGTAGAAATATACTTTTAATTAAACTTAAAATTAAAAAACTATGATGATCTTAAAGCGAAAAATTGGATGCACACAAGGATTCAACCTACATATATGAACTAGGCAGCAATTCGGGAATTTGGAGAGGGAGGCTCTTGAACTGTTCCAACATTACATTAAGCATAAAAATAAAGGTGGAAGCGAAAAGAAAACGCACAATTTGTTTACAGAAATGGCAACCGAAACTACTTTTACATTCCGATGAAAGATCTCATTAGAATCCTTTTTGCATAGCGTTCACAAACTAAACACGCAATTTGTGAATACAAAATAACGTACAGAGAAAATTTGTGCATAAATTAAATAGGCCAGCATCTGACACTCGTCCAGCAGCTGGTATCTCTATCATCAAAATATTTTACGGAAAGCACGTCGGCAGGATGATGTAGGGTTGGTGTGTCAAGCACAGAGCTTGTATATGCTGAACAGCAGAGGTAGGGGCAATAATCGGGTCTGAGTTCATACTGGGCAACATACACATCTAATCTACATTCATTTGCTCACTTTTCACTTATCATATTCAATCAGTTCAAGCGACAATACCTAATCACATTTTTTAAATATCATATTCGCCTTTCACATATAATTAGGTTTCGATCAAAACTCCAGTTAAAAGAAGACAGAACATTTCTCTCATTTTTCAATCAAAGGCACAATCAAGTACCTACAGTTTTTCAAAGGGACTAAAGTCTGGAAGTCACATGTGCATGTCAAACACACGCATGATCTTTTGTGGAGGACAGGAAATTTTACATCTGTAGAAGGTGCACTTTTTGAAAGTCCTGAGATATAAAGTGGGAAACAAGTCCCATCTCTTCAATTGTGTCAGAAGACTGGCTGAACTGAACCCAGGCCCTCCTACGCGTCACCAATAAAATTTCTTTTATATTACGTGTTCCAATTATAAAATGTGTTATTCCCCTGTCCACACAACAACATAATGAACATTATAACTTTTAACTTTAATACGGTCAGGGGTTGTTTTTTTTCAGAGGTGGGCTTCTTCAATTAGAAACTACTCATTCCATAACTGAATTCCTCTGCCTTCTACCAGAAAGCTTAATAATCTAACTACAAACGCTAGTCTGTATACAGACCCTAGTCAAGTTAAAATGTTGGTGTTGGTGTACTAGTTGTAGTAGTCATAGTACAAAGGTCAGCATCTAAGTCTTTAAAATTCCCAGTCAATAAAATAAAAATCAACTTGTATTAGTACATTACTGGCTCAATTAAAAGCATGTCATGTCACTGCATGCCAATGAATTCACAGCTTTGTGTGCTCTTTTAGTCAAAATGAGTATTTTACGATTGTTCTACTTATAACATTCAACAGATGTTCAGAACACATATACACACCACACACACACCGCAAAACTTAAGTGGCAGCTGACTGCTTCTTTAATTTCACTTTCAGTCGCCTTCCCACCACCGTGACTTACTTCTATAGTTTTAAGTTTATATCCAAATTTCAACCCAATATTACAATAATCTAATTTTTTGCCCATAAAGTATCACTAATGATCTGGCAGTCAGGATATGGAAAATAGAGAACCAACCCCAACCCCTCTCCCAAAAAAAATATAAATAAATAAATAGATAAATAAATAACAAAACCCACTGGCACTGTTGGTAACATACACAGCAAAGAACCCTGTACAGCTCTGCCCTCTGACCACTAAGGCCACAACCAGATTAACACAAAAATCAACATTGACTAGACCTAAAGTACCGGGTAACAAATAAAACAAAAGACACGACTGCCAAGAACCATGACTTTGTTCAGGAGAAGAAATTTTGCGGGGCTGGGTGCATGAGCTCATAAGTACAGTATCAAAGACAAGCCAAAGAGAATGCACAGACACTGTTTTGGACTGAGGGGAAAACAAAGAAAATCCAAATTACGCTCATAGTCCAAGAGTGGGTTTCATATCAGGTAGAAGGTTTTCTATAGTATCCATGTCAACAGAAAGTGTCTCGTTGGTAGATGACTGCTCCACCGGGGTGCTCATTCTCTCTTGTTTGACAAAGCCTGTGCCAGTGACCAAGTCTAAATCTAGCTCTAGTCTCGGAATTCTGGCCTCGCAGATCAACTGATGCTGATACATCTGCGGTTTGTATTTGAAATTTCGCCCACAGAAGCGACATTCGACTTTCTTGCCCACACCATGAATTCCCCTCATGTGTTCCGCCAGCGAGTCGTATCGGCTGAGAACTTTCAAGCAGATGGTGCACGTTAAGTGGCGCTTTCCGTTGCAAGTCTTCTTGTGCACAGCCATGGCCACGTGATCGCGAGACACATAAGTGCACTTTCGGCAAGACATGACACGGCTCCAGCCCAGAGAGCTCCGCATTCCACCCAGGACGCCACCAGAGTCCACACGCCCAAATCGACTCAAAGAGGAGGCATCTCCGGTAAACGCCATTTTCCGATTCCACAAAGCAACAGCTAAAAGGGGGGAAACAAAGAAAGACGCAGGTGTTATCATACATGTGCCATGCTTTGTAAGTGCGACATGAGAGCTTCGTGTTGTCGGAGAGTAGCAATGGGCCGACCTGGTACATGTAGGGGTAGACATTTTTGCGTGCTAATTTAGTAATTTCTTTCCTCTGATCTTCAAACGTTAGTACTTAAACTTAAAACTGGCACAGGAACTCTTCAGTACCCCCATGCCAGCTTCACAAAATATTCTTTATATTTACAACCGACTGAGAGTGAAAGCAGCGCAACACACGCAAGTGAAACATTTATTTCGACAGCTTTGGTTAGTTTATTTTTTTCATAGTGATTGCTGTGCAGTTTCGTTATTTTGTGTTTTATTTTACATTTTTTTTCCTGGAGTGACTTACAATACAATTAGATGGAAAACACGCATGACGAAAAAAAAAGATAATTATCACACTGCACCGGTCACTTTAGTTGTGCTTTACTTATGTTCACTCTTCCTCGTTTCGTTTTAGTAAGTTTTACGGCACTTGTGGCACAATAAGGTCATATAAGTGCCGAAGATTAGAGGTGTTACAAGAGAGTAACAAACACAAAAAAGGAGGGGAGATAAAGACGAGTTTTTTTTATAGGAAAGAGGGAGCAAACCACACCAGAACACCCGCCAACCACCCACACTCTTCTTCAGTCCTACTACTCCTACACATCGATAGACAACATGCATAACACAAAAAAGAAGGAGGGGAGATAAAGACAATAGGTTTTTTATAGGAAAGAAGGAGCAAACCACACCTGAGCACCCGCCAACCACCCACACTCTTCCTCAGTCCTACACACCGACAGACAACATGCATATGAGACTTGAGTAATGTGATTCTTTGAGGCCTCACCTGGACCTGGTGTTTTTTGCCATTGTCTTTCTCAAATACCATACGACTGCAGTCACATGGAAAGAGCCTTTTTAATGCCACTGTACTGAAGCAAGAACCCCTCCACACCAGTGATGTAATTACTTATTACTACCCTTCCTCCATTTTCATTAAAAAATATATCTTTATTATTATAATTTTTCAAAAATGTAATTAAACATCTGGAAAATTCAAATACACCCCCCCCCCCCCCAACAAAACCACACACAAACACACACACAATCCTACAACATACGACACTAGAACTTGGGACACACAGTAATTAAAATCTTGACACAAGTTGAGAAGTCGAAAACAAGACCACCACAGATGACGGTGACAGACAAGCCGCTTTTTCTAAATGTTTTGTCAGTGAATTGATTCCGCTTGTTTCAGACTTGAGTGAATAAACAGAAGCACTTGAACATAAAAAATCATCATTTCGTGCCGGGGAAAGTAAGATACAGCTGAGACAGAAACAACAGAGAAAGAAAAAAAAAGCTGGACTTCAGCTTGGTTATCCATTAGAGGTTGGCAGTATTGCCATATTTTTTCAGCTCAGTCAGACGATCATTATTCTAATTTCTAATACTTGACAAAATTTTGAAACTTTTATTTTACCAATTTACTTTTTATTTCAAATATTTTGTTGCCATTACTTTGATGATTTGGGTATTTTCTTGGGTTTTTGTTAGGGTTTTTTTTGAGGGAGCTAAAAACCAGACTTGGACGGAAATACAACAAATAATTTCTGTACCGTACCTCTAATCACATTCATAAGAAGTTTTGTTTTGATAAGAGTTTTACAACACTCGCAACTGCATAAGGATATGTGAGCGTGCAGGACACAATAAATTAAACATTTTCAGTTTGGCAGGAATTAATAACTGAATTTTGCCAGGGTGGCGGCCGAAGCCCACTCTTATGGAGTTTGGACAACCAAGGGATCTTTGACGTGCGCAACTTGCACATGGGACCTCTGAGATTTTTCACCCGAATAAAAAAAGGCTACGATCAAGGGTATGGCTGAAAGTAGTGAAAGACAGCAGTAAGAAGGAGCCAAGGAGTAGAAAGGTTGCAGAAAGAGTCCGGAGCCGAGGAGGGGACAAAAGGAGGGGTGGAGAAGAAAATTTTCCGTCAGTCCAGTTTCAAGCACAGGACCTATTGAATGAGAGGTGAACATCGTAACCTCTCGATCACACGAGCTCCTTATTCCTAAAAAAAAGCCTTTTCTGGTAACTTCTTATATCAAAACACCCCCATGTATACCATGTCCAGCCTTTTGTTTAATTAACACATAACACCTTGATCTTTAAACAAATACTCTAAAATGCTTTAAAAACAACATATGTCGACTTTCCCATCTCCAGTAGTATACCAGTAGTGTTTCATCACAGAACTCAATATTCAGTTCTCGCTGGTGTCATATCGGAGCAATGAACGTTTCATGCTGCTTGTCATATTTTCTCATTACAAAAGGTCGCCCATCCCTGCTCACTTCACCACCATCCCAACACCACCCCCTCAAACACCCCAAAAAGAAAGTGTGGAAGAGTTGCAGTAAATAAACGGGTACGTTCAAAACCGTACCCAAGCGAGTCTCTTGACTCTCCCATTGAATTCCTCCAGTTACAGTTTTTCCCATTCTGAACAAATGATGTGCCTAGTTCATCTTCTCCTTCGAAATTTATGGAACACATTTTGTGCAGAGCCTCCCAAAGAAAACCTGTTTATAAAAGCAGAAAATTCACTCAGAAGTACCATTATAAGTTAAATAAGTAGGGCAAAGAAGCAAACTTGGTACATGATACATTTCACTAATTACCTTTAGTAGTTTAGGCTATTGAAATACAACTTTGTATTGGATTCAATTCTCAACTGTCGAGTGTGTATAACCTAATCAGTAGAGGTTCATGGCTGGGACCACAGACATGCTTAATATGATTAGATGCTGTAGAAAGCATAATATCAGTATTCATTAATTACAAAGGCCTATTAGGCGGGCTTCGACCTTGCCTGCCAACTCAAGCTGAGAACGATTTAAAAGTCCCAGGAGAAAGACCAAGTCTTCAATATAAATTCCACACATGGGAACGGAACACTTTTGCATGTGACAGCAAAGCACCTGACCACTACACCACAGATGCCAGTCATACCAAATGATAATACAATAAAGAAAACTGCAAACTTCCTGACACACAAGCATATTATATTATATATTCATACCATTGTCGCTTCAACAAAAGGTTCAAAAGTAACATAGTGATTAAAATGCTACTATACTATATTATTTTAACTTACATTATTTAACTGGTGATCAGATGTTTGACTTTCTCTCATTGAAAATTAAATGACTAGAACAAATCATCAAATGCCCATTTAAAAAGTAGAGGGGCTTACTGCCATGAGAAGACAAGACAGGGCAGGCCAAAGAAACTCGCTAAAAATAAAACAGAAATTCATAGAAAACACAGAAAACGAAAGAAAACCCACGTCTTTTATAAATATTTGACAACCCTCTTTAAACCTGCATCGATCTCAGAATTAAGGAATAAGATCGCCTAACAGACCAAACAGGTGTTTTTTACCAACAGAACAATGCTTATGACAAAAATAGCAACCAACTCAAGCACAGTAATAAAACAGACTAACTGAAAACGTCTGTTCGCTGTATTATGCTTTATTGCACAAAAATGTACACTTCATCATAATAAATTTGGAAGTTAACATCCAGCAAATCCATTCAAAGATATAGCTCGTATTTAACACATGACAAATTATGCTCACACATAATAATGTATTTTAATAATAAATTTAGGAAGATAGAAGGATGAATCACAAATCAATGGAACGTGGAATTCAGATCTACATTGTAATGAGAGCAGAAGCGGCCCCAATGAAAAAAATCTAGAGCATTCATTATACTACAAAATGAAACATTCCCACACACAAAAATTGTGGCCAATTTTTTTTGGGAAAAAAACAACAAACAAACAACCCTTTTGTGGTATCATAAATACACCAGTACATAACAGGATACGAAACATTTTTCTTTATCCATACACAAACTATGCTTCGACAGCTGTGTGACATGTTTACACAGCTGAGAACAGTGACTAATAATATTCCCATGTACTTGAAGCATATATGCTAACAGAGTTTCTACTAAACAACCACAAGTATGCCCACAGCCTTCAATCAGCCTGACATTTTTGTTCCGTGAGGGAGGAAAGAAAATATTGAGTCGCAGACAGCGGTAGAATTGATTTTTTTTAAAAAGCATTTAGCACAAAATTGAAGGAAAGAGTAAAATCTTCACCTGAAATACATCTTTGAACCCAACAGACACAGATTCCTCATGCCCTGTATTCATTTTCCTTCACATTCCTTTCCTTTCCCGTATTTAGAGGACGGCTAGGCTTACTATGAATTAGAAAGATTGATAATCCCATGCTTACTCCTCAGGTGCATTTTGAGGACATCTTGGCGATAGAAAACTCTGTCACAATACGAACAGGTAATGTCAAATTTTCCCTCGCAAGCCTTACGGTGCCGAGTGAGGTTACCAGGATAGCTGAACGACTGGTTGCACTTGGCACAAGTGTAGCGCTTGACGAGGTACGGGTAGTGTGGTAACCGGGAACGTGGACCCATCTGAGCTCTCTTAGTCAGTAGTTCACCCTGCACTGCACTCCGACCAAAAACAGATCTTGCCCCTTGGCCCCCAAGGATAGAATCGAGAAAAACTGGAAAAGCAGAGCATGTTCTTGTGTCATTTATCAGAGGTACTGACCTTTCTTTCGTTTATCTGATATGCCTAAACAACTCTATGAGAATTACAACAAAAAAAAGAGACCAATGTCTTGACATCATCACAGCCTTGATAGGGCATGAAATAAGACTAACCAAAGGCGATTGTATTTTTTTTTTAGCCCTCAAGACAAAATTAATTAAAAGGCCATGCTGACAGGTACTTTGAATCTGAAGTTCAACTATTGTTCCCTTGAATAAAAAACATCCACCCTTAAAACACTTTAACAAATGTGATCTGCAAATACTCCGAAAAGGAATGTGATCCAACATGGCATGACATGA